TTAGTTACGTCCGTCGTACGTACGTACCGTACGTACTACTACCTACTACTACTACTAACTAACTATACTACTACACTACTACTACCTACCTCCTCTCTCTCTCTCTCTCTCTCTCTCTCTCTCTCTCTCTCTCTCTCTCTAAAAGCATATGATCCATCTCTGTAGGGGTGGCAATGGACCGGACTCGATCTGGGACCTAAGATCAGATCTAACCTTTGGTCTGGGTCCATGTGGACACAATCCGACTCGAATAGTATTATTATTTAAATAAATTTTAGTATATAATATTCAAATAATATTTAAATAAATATAACTAGTTATAATATTTAAATAATATAGATATGAATGTAACATAATACTTAGATATATAGAAATATATTTTTTTTATCTTTGGGTTGGGTCTGGTCTAGATCCGGCCCGACCCGTTGCTTATGACTCCCTATTTTCTCCCTACTACGGGAAAATGTTTCTATGTGGCCCCAACAACATATAAGTTATATGTAACCCTATTTCTCAGTTGTTCGATCTGAATCGAACGGTTATGATCATTCACACCCCAATGTCACACCAAACACTATTTTATTTTTCATTTTTTTCTACAAAATATTTTTGGAAGAAATTTTGGGCATCCCATCATAAAAATAGGGCGAACTTGGGGAAAATAAAAAATAAATATTTTTTGTAAAACGATAAAAATGCCCCTACAATTTTCAAAAGGTATTTTGGTAATTATTCATTAGCAAAATATTTTATTATTATTTTTGTCATGTGCACCCTGTCAAATCTATGTATGCATGTCCCAAACTTTCCTTTAAAATGATTTATAAAATAAAAATTAAAAACTCTAAATTATCCGATCAATATCTGATGATTAAAAGCCAATTTGACTTGTGACTTAGTCATCTACTTAAATCTTATGGCCGATACTAGGAGTAAAATATTCCTCTCTCTAAAACCCGTTTTGTACATATAGTGGGGTCACATCGAAAGCCTTCCCCTCTCTAAAACAGGTATGTGGTTTTGTACATCTCTCCTATTTTCCCTCAAATATAAAAGACAACATGCTTCGTACTTAGTAATCCCTACGCGGGAGTACAAAAAACACTGATCCTTAACCTTGTCACAATAATATATAACATTTGCCTCATAAACAAAGAGTTTTAAATTCAACTGTATTTCTTCAAGAGTACATCCCTCTATAGGACATCTTCAGCGCTTATATATAATAAATGTTGAATATTGCATCACAAAATTGAGATTTAGGTATTGACTGCAATATTGTATACCGTTAATTTCAGTTGGATAATATAATTTAGATGAACTTATCTTTTAAAATAGTGACAAATCTATAAATAGTGACAAATCTATATACCGTTCAAATAAAATAAACAGTATAAATTACTTGAGACTTGCTTCTACAAGTTAGGTTGACACATCGTACAAACTTTGTCATTCAATGGGCCCTTTTAACTTCTCAAATTCAAATATGACTTAAAAAAAAAACTCTTCTAATCAAAACATCTTATTATCTCATCTATGCTCTCCCTCACGTAAAATCTTTTTTGAAAAAATCAACCTCCTTATAATATATATAAGTTGTCTTTGGTTACCCCGAAAAGAAATAACATCTTATATAAATTTTTGCAAATTCTATTTTACCAGTTACGGATTCCTTTCGTGTCAATATTTACAAAATATAAATTTTGTTACAATAAGTTGGAAGTCTATGAACTATCTATCATATTTGATTCCTACGCTCACTTTCCTAATATAAAAAATGGAAAATATATCAAATGGGCATTATATTTTCTTTTATATATATATATATATATATACCAAAATTGATAAGGTTACGAAAATGTCATCACGCTAGGTATCATAGGGCAATCATTTCACTAACCAGTGTGCGGCCTTGACTCTTAGGCCGGCAGCGAAGGGTCAATTCAACATATCTCTATATAAGCACCTCAGTCTAGAAAAAATCGAACCGGAACGGTTAACCGTATATGGCCCGAAAGCAGTTCAACCGGCCTAACTAGTAAACCGGTCGATTCGGTCGTTCTAATCGAGCAAATCTCGAGCCATCAAAAAAAGTGTTAAACAATTCAAAAAAATACAAATAAAAAACTCATAAAATGTGAAAAGTATATTTAAACAATGATTAAACAAAGCACATGAAGTTAAAAACTAATGAAAAAAATAGATTTTAAAGAATGGATTTGTGTTCAAAAGTATTTTTTAAATTTTTTAAAAAGATAATAAAATGTAAAAAAAAATTTAATAGTCAAAACAATTTTTAATCTTTATTATAATAATAATAAAAATATTATAAATAAAATATCTTTATTTGTTGGGATTTTATATATTTTTAAAAGAAAATAAAAATACCGAACCGGTCACCAAAAGCAAAACTAGCCCTGGCCGGTTTCAATCTAACCAGACAGTTACTCATTAGACGGCCCGTTTTTTCTTTAAAAACAGACGCCCGCTCACACGCACCACACGCCAGCACGCACGAGTGAAAAAGAAGTGATGGGAATCAGTTAGTACGAAAATTTCGGGGGTTTTTTTAGTGCACTTCTCAAAATTATGTTGAAAAGCGTTTAAAAAATTGGGGGCTACAGTTATAGGAACCGAAACTCAACTTCCTTAGTGCCTTCGGGGCGAAGCAACTCCATTTGTATATAGAGAGAAGAAACCAGTGATTACTCATTGTTAATGGTGATTTACGGTTTCGTGGTGATCAAGGTTTCAGTTTCAGGAAAAGGTTTGTTTCCTTTCAATCATCAAGCATTTTGGTTTTGTTAATGGTTCAAACAGGGTTTCTTCTTACAGTAAGAATTGGTTCTTTTTTTCTTCAGTTTTTTTTTCAGTTTTGGGTTTGTTTTGCATCTGTAGATTTACGGCTTTGCTTCTGATTTTCTTGATTGTTGCGGAGATTTTTCTGTGATGTTTTATGTTTATTTTATTGTTATTTTTTAATACTGGAATGGCATCCATTGAAGTGTTAAGTATTAATTTGGAGTTCATCACTCGAAATACAGTTTAGAATTTTATTTATTTCTTTTTATCGGAATTCTGACTCTTATTCCTAACTCCTTATAGTGCCGGTTTGTTGAATTGTATTTTAGAATTTTAACTGTCAAAGAGAAGTAGCAGTTTACTAAAATACTGAGTTCGAATTGTCAAGACTTAATAATTGTGTTAAATTTCAATCCTGATCTTAGTTTTTTGATATTTTAACCGCCTGTTGGAGAGTGTTACTTACTCAGCCCAGCCGAGGTGGAGTTGAAGCAAGTTCCAAGGCTATTAAAAAATATAAAAAATAAAAATTCGAAGAAAGGGGAAACTCCACTGTATTGATTAAGACTTAGGATTAAGGTTCTGATAATATTGATAGTTTTTCAGAATATTTGGGAACTTCCTTATTTTTAAAAATTTTCTGAAATATTCAAATTCTACATCAAATTCTTGAATAATCCATCTTTTATATAATTTTTTTCATATTTTAATCTTCCAATGATTCCTATTATCTCTTTTATTTATTTTTCTTATTCTAAAAACTTTTACGCGTTACTCTCCTCGGTCACGAGCCGAGTACCTCGGCCAAGGCGATTTCCAAATTATTGACTTGTTTTGTGCTTGGAATGGGTTTGATTGTTGTCCTTTGCTCTTTGCACATTTTTGCTTCTGAGTTGAGTCATGATTATTGCTATTTTTCCTTGTTTAAGTTTTATTTTGATTTTTTCTTTTGATATTTGAAGATCATCAGACTTTCTAATTAGAAAAATGTCAAAAACTTTTCTTCTGGTGAGTATTCTAAAAAAACTTTTATTCTTCAAATTGACACTGAATCAGTATGGTGCTCTTTGTCTTGCCTTCAGGGTTTCTGTGTATATGTTTTTCGGGGGCTTAGTCTTCCACATATCAACTAAAAATTGACTGTGTAACTTTGTTGAATTAGTTTAGTCAGAATCTAACGCTTCTAGCTCTTGATTTGCATCAGGTGATGCTATTACATGGAGTATTTTATATCTAGACTTCAATTTTGATTTTTTTTTTCTTTTTAGTTAGTAAAATTACTCAGTTTAGTCTGTTAAGTTTTCTCCTAATTAGTGAATCTAAGGTCTCTAGCACTTGATTTGCCTCAGGTGATGCCATTACATGGAGTGTTAAAATTTCAATTTTGATTTATTTTTTTATTTCAGGCAGTAAAATTACTCAATATCTGCTGATGACCTGAGATGTGTGATCCCTTTGGTTTTCTCTCATTTTTTAACTACTTTCTATGTTTTCTAGCAATTTTTATACCTGTGATGTTTTGTTGATGTATGTGATCCCTTTGCTTATCTCTCATTTTTTAACTACTTTGTATGTTTTTCTAGCAAATTTTTATACCTGTGATTTTTTGTTGAGATATGGCAAGGCGTGCCATGCACAGCCTGACTGATATAAGTACACTGCTAAGTGCCCAATGATGATATTGCAGCCATGTCTACAATTTTCTAGGTAGTATTTTACATTTCTTAACCTCTAAAAATGATTCTCACCTTCATTGTCTCCCTTGCAGGCTTATTTTGCTTTGAACTAGCTTGGTTTTTCCTCATGCCTAGAAAGAGAAGAACACCAAAAGAGGGCAGTGGGGAGTCTTCTTCACAGGCCTCAAATGTCTCGAACATAGGCAATATTCAGCAATCAGTACATGCGCCTGCTTCTCATTCAGGCCCATCTCAAACCCCACCTCCCACTATAAGGAGGCCTGTCTTGTCTAGTCCCAGTGCTAGAGCAGGTCCTTCGAGTAGGAGTGATGTCCCCGACCTGCCCCAAGCTGTTCAGGCCTCTGTAGGTCCTCAAGTTCCTGGTGCTCCTCCAAGCTCAAGCAAGGCCATTACATTTCCTCGGAGGCCAGGGCTTGGAAAACTTGGTCGGCAAATAATGTTAAAAGCAAACTTCTTTCTTTTGAAGTTCCCTCACGAGGATATTTTCCATTATGATGTGAGTTAGTTTACTATTTTACCTTTTTTACGTATATGCATGAACTTTTCTTATGCTTTTGAGTTTTGGATGTAATTTCTTGGTATAACATATAAGAACTTCTATTAGTTAAAATCCTTACATGCATTTTGCGGTTTCTAGCTTTTCTGAAAGATTTTTTTTTTGTACCATTTGATATTTTTATTTTTTGTATGATTTTAACTTCGAAATTCCATTAATTTGGAAACAGCTCTAGTTTTAGGCATCATGCATGTAGAAAAGTTTACGATGCTTACATGCCTCCACACCCAAGACTATTAGACTGTTTCCTATGGCACTTGTGAGACTGGATGTCGAATGTTGTCATCTGAAGGCTAAACTCTTAACTTTTCGTTGTTCTTTGTGATCAATCTAAGTACTTGAACCAATATTGTATGTTTCAGTTTTTCCTTTCATATGGAGCTCTAACATTGTTTCTTACTTTTCGTTGTTTTTGTGATCAATCTAAGTATTTGAACCAATATTGTATGCTTCAGTTTTTCCTTTCATATTGAGCTCTAACATTGTTTTGTGGAACACAACAAAATAAACTAGATAGAAATTTAGATCCAGTGAAGGAATAAAACATATCAAAATTTAGATCCAGTGAAGGAATAAAACATATCTTGAATGTTGATTTATGGGCTAATGTTTGTCTTTATCTTTACTTTTCAGGTGACCATTTCTCCACAAGTACCATCAAAGAACTCTTGTCGTACAATTATCACAGACCTCTCAAATGCCCATGGAGGTCAGGAACTGGGCAACCATTTAGCTGTCTATGATGGTAGAAAGAGTATGTATACAGCTGGACGTTTTCCATTTTCATCAAAGGAATTCACAATAAAAGTGGCTGAAGAAGATGTCAAATCACAGACACAGAGGTGAAGCTCTCTTTTTTTCAGCCTACTTAGGTGAAGCTCTATTTTTTTCAGGCTACTTTATATTAGTTTAATAAGGCCAGATGAGGCCTTGGCATTGAACAAGTGCAATAAAACTGTTTTCCTTAATTCATATTCTCTCCATGTTTTTTTCTTAGTTGCCTCCTCAAATACTCTGTTTATGGATGTAATAAGAAAGACTTACTTACATATTGTTGATTAAGAATAGTGTCGTATCATGTTGGACTTTTTTCAAGCGAATATATATAGGAGGAGAGAAAAATTTGCAAAAAGTAAAAGCTATTAGTTAATCATGCAATAGGAAAGGGATTCTTAAAGAGCTAGCAAGTCTCTACGTATCTTGATCCAGCATTTTGGTGTTTACATTCACTTTTCACATAGGATGATGAATTAGGCTTAGCCCCACAGGCTTAGAACCATTAATGAAAAATAATTTACCAGCCTCTGAGGTCCTTAGTTTTCGCTGAGGAATGAGAGGACTAAATGCTGATGGTGGGGCTACCATGAGGCTATTACGTAGGAATGAGAGGACTAAATGCTGATGGTGGGGCTACCATGAGGCTATTACGTAGGAATGAGAGGACTAAATGCTGATGGTGGGGCTACCATGAGGCTATTGCGTAGAGTGATCCATATCGTCACCATATTATCCATCAATAAGAAATTAAATTGAAGTCTGTTACCCTTCCACTGACTTAGGAATTGCTTTAAGAATCTTCCATTTCTCTTTTCAGATGCCTTAAAAAATTGATGAGTGATATATTGCATTGTCTAAACTCTGTGGGGGCGCATTGTCTAAACTCTGTGGGGGCTCTTCCAACCTATCAAAAAAAGAAAAAGGAAACTTTAGAAGACTCTTCTTTTGGCCTTCCTAAACGGTGAGGGATCCATAGTATTTCCAGTGAGCCTCTCTACTTCATCCCAATGTCTCTGCCAACCCCTCGTGAGATCCTCCTATGTCTCTGCCGACCCTTCATCAAGGTGGGTGATGGCATCAATTCCAAAGCTAGATTTAAAGCCTTGAACTGGCCCAATCTCAATCTACTGCTTACCTTCAAGGTCCTCCTTAATGTCATCTCTAGGCACGGAAATAATACCATGAAAAGTGAGCCATAATCTGGATAGAGATAATTTGGGAATAAGTGCAGTGCAGCAGTAGTCTAGTTCACTGCAATGTTTTGATGGTTGCTATGTAGAGACCAGGTTTGGGAGTGAGCATCTCGTAATAGAATCTCAGAAACCAACAACCATTTTGGAGATAATTTTGGGAAAAGTAGACTAAATTCCATGATACATGGAGCAATGTTCACTGAAATATATTTTGACCTATGTCAAAGGTTTCATCTTCCCATCGATTGATTTGCATCCCTATCAATATAGAATTCAGTGCTGCCTTGAGGGAGATACATGAAAAAAACTAATGATTACATATAATGTGACATCTTTATGAACAGCTCCATACTACATATCTAACAAAAAATGCCCATAACTTTGTTTTATGGGATTTTTTACTTGTCCTGACACACACAGAGTTCATGGAGATGGATACAAGGAGCCACTATACAATTCGGCATTTCCTGAAATCCAGGACATAAATTCAACTATCACATTCAACTCAATCATTCATACATATTATAGCTCATATATAGCATAAATATACATATTTGGCACATTGATACATGTGGAAGCCATATTGTAATACATAATTTGTATTTTATCCATTCTATACTTTGCATAGGTATGTTATTTATATTTAAAAGTATCCTCAAAGTATCATGTCATGTCCTGTCTATACCAGTATGCTGGGTATGCACAAATAGCACATATTTATAGGTATTTTACTGGGAATGCCATATTAAAGACTCTGTTTTATTTTTTATTTTTTGTTATTAACTTCTCTGTTTTGTCTTTAATACTTTTTATTCAAGGCTTTAAAGTATATTTTTGAATTTGCAGACGAGAGAAACAATACAAAGTGGTGATTAAATTCGCATCACAGTTAAGTATGCATCGCCTGGAGCAGTTCCTGAGTGGTGACCAAACAGAGCTTCCACAAGATGTGTTACAAGCACTCGATGTTGTGCTGCGTGAGTCACCTTCAAGGAGGTTGTGAGCTTGTTTCTTTGGGTTTCTTTTTCTCTTTGGATTTGTTTGATTGTTTCATCAGCTTTGGACGTAAGGGATAAGTGTTTTCTGTCAAATTGAGTTGTGGACTTTATGGAATTAGGTTTTCTTCTATTGGCCATTCCTTTTTCTCTGGGACATTTGGTAGAAAAATTTTAACAGAGGGATTGGAAGCTGTGAAGGGTTTCTTCCAGAGCGCCAGACCTACACAATCTGGTTTAGCATTAAATATTGGTTGGTATCTTGACGTTAACATGTGGCTAAAGATGCCATGGGTCTCATTTTCAGACAAATCCATTTCTTCCTTTAGTTCTTGTTCAATGCTATATTTTCTGATAAACCATTCACCCAATTGGTGTAGACATGTCAGCCACAACATTTATAAAAGAGCAAGAAGTGATAGCCTATGTTGCGGATATTTTACGCAAGGATTTGAGGAGGCCTTTGGTTGATGCAGATCTTGTGAAGGTATAATTTTATTAGGATAGAGATGTAATCACATTTGTAAATATATCCTTGTTCCAGAGCCAAGATTTTTTAACTCCTTGAAGTGATATTCGAGTATCATCAAGCAGAACTTATTATATACCTCATGCAATTATACAATTGCAAAATGCATCCAAGATGATGGGGAATGAACCGAGTCTCCATTGTGTTTGAATTGCATTATTGAGTTTTAGTACATTTGAATTGCGTTGTTGAGTTTTAAGACATGTTTAATTTGATTTGAATTGTTGAGTTTCCTAACTTGATTAGAAGACTCCTTTGGTTGATTGTGTGAGTCTTCAGGTTATTTCCATTTTGCTTTTATGATAGGTAAAGACAGCTTTAAAGGGCCTCAGAATTGAGGTCACACATCGGGGAAATATGCGGAGGAAGTATCGTATAGTGGGTTTGTCCTCTCAATCTTCAAGGGAAACAATGTAAATAACTCTATTTTTTCTTGGTTTTAGTGGAAGCTATTTATTTGGTAGTCATAAAAACTTTTATGCATAGTATTTTCATGATTAATTGATCAGTGCATCATTTTCCTTTGTTGAGAGTCAATAATCTGGTAATCTTTTCTGAACATTTATTTTCGTAACTAAAAATTTAAGGAGATGATATTACAACGTTCAGAGGAGTAAAGAGAATCCTGAATCCTGAATCCTTCAAAAAGTTATGATGGCATGAAATCCAATTCGCAGCAAATCCCTCTCGAATGAAATTTTACGCCATTTGGTTTTTCTGCCCATCAATTCATTTTGATGAACCACGAGCATCAACTCTATGGAGGAGACTCCACCAAATCCATCTCGAACCAAAATTTGTATATGAAAAAGTATGTATGCTTCACACATTGAACAACTAAGCCAGTTAGCCTTGACAATATCCCCATATATGATCTTGTTCCACCTCTCTAATAAGCATGACATTGATCCTTGTTTCATAAACCAATACTTGTGCTTTGTCCACACCCCATTGGGGAACAACAAACTTGTGCTCACTTAACTTATGAGCACATTGCACTTTAAGTGTGGATTTGAGGCAGATTACAAGATGCAGGATACAAAAGTTTTAAGGAATATGGGGAATCAACATGCTTCCTAAAAAAAAGGTTCCTAAACATGAAGAGCAACTACTACTTGCCTGTCCATTTTAGATTTGGCGAGCTAGACATAGCTGAAATCTCCCTCCATCATGCATGATTTTATCGTACTTCTCATTATACAAGTTCAGTACCCTCCATCATGCTGTGATTTTATCATACTTCTCATTATACAAGTTCAGTACCCTCCATCATGTTGTGATTTTATCGTACTTCTCATGATACAAGTTCGGTATAGCATGTTGGGTAAGGTCCTCACATATGAGAATAAATAATATTTTGCTGAAGTTGCTAATTGTCATATCAAGTGACAGAACTAACTTGCTTAGTAGCCATCTATCAGGAGATTTAACACTTTTGTTTTTTAACTTTGTTCACATATAACAATTGTTATTGACTTTCCTTCAAATCTTGTGATGCATTGTTGCAGTTTTACTGTGGAGAGAAATGGAACATCAAAGAGGGTTTCTGTGTACGGTTACTTTTATGAAGTTTATAATATGAAATTGGTGTATCCACTCTTGCCTTGTCTCCAAGTTGGAAGCCTTGAGAGGCCGAGTTACATTCCAATGGAGGTTCTCTCCTATGACCCATTCTATGATTTTTTTCTAGGTGGTATTTCTTCAATAAGCATCATATAAATTCATCAAACTACTTTATTTACAAACTGTTACGTTATTCCCAGGTCTGCAAAATTGTGAAGGGTCAGCGGTATTTGAAGTCTCTAAACCAGAGACAGACCACAGAGATGCTGACTTTCACTTGTCAAGACCCTCGTAATAGGGAAACGGACATCCTGAAGGTAGACCTCATTAACTTTTAGAGTCAGCTATCTGAGGTGCTCCTGTGGAAGCATTATGAATATTAGATTTAAACTGGTTCACCTGCAGGCTGTTGTGGAAAATAAGTACAATACGAGTCCTTATGTGAATGAGTTTGGAATAGAAGTCAGTGAAACATTAGTCCCTGTTCACGCGAGACTTTTAGCTTGTCCAAAGGTACGTCATTAGCTTGTCCAAAGGTACGTCATTAACATATTGTTAGTGTCAAAGTTTTACGTCATTAGCTTGTCCAAAGGTATGCCATTAATATATTGTTAGTGTCAAAGTTTTGATTTGTTTCTAATTTTTTCTTGACATGGTTGTTATATCTAATTGAATGCAGCTTAAGTATTGTAATGACAGGGGAAGAGAAATATCTTATACCCCTGAATTGGGATACTGGAATATGAGAGATAAGGTACTCGCCAGGTTATTGTAATTGATTCTCACTCGGTTGTACCCTACCTATAGATGCATTATACTGATTGTGTAATTTTCTAGTGCTCATCCATGACTAGTCTTATCATTGGTGTTGGTTTTGTTGTCTTAGTGAACACCATATTCACTTTGTAACTGTATACCTGATAAGTAGCGGGACTTGGTCACTGAATTTATGCATGGTACTTTCAAATGATGATTTATAAACATGTCTTAATTCTGTAATTTGTGTGTTTGTGTTGGGTTGCTTATGCACTAACCTCTCATTTTCAGCCACCCTCACAACTCAACTCTGGTTTTTACTTTTCCATTTATGCATGGTACTTTCCAATGATTATTTATAAGCATGTCTTAAATTTTTAATTTGTGTGTTTATTTGGGTCTGCTTATGCACTAACTTTGATTATTTATAAATATGTCTTCATTCTATAATTTGTGTGTTTATATTGGGGCTGCTTATGCACGAACTTGTGTACTTTCAGCCCCCCTCTCAAGTCTGGTTTAGATATTTGTGGTGTTTTACTTTTCCATTTTTTTGTCTTCCCTATTTTAATTTACAAATTGTCCCATTTCTTTTGAAACAGAGATTTCTAAATGGGGGTCGTTTGAACAATTGGACTTGTGTGAACTTTTCATCAAGTGACATCTCTGTGGCAGTTGCAATGACCTTTTATCAGCAACTTTTTGGAGTTTGCAGAACATTGGGGATGGTAAGTCATAAGTGTTTTCTTTAAGCTAGTTCTTGTGCATGAAATATCTCGTTTTCCTAATTTATTGCATGACTGTTCTGTAGACATGCAATTTGAATCCCATATTGAGGATTTGTGAGGCTCAATCAGATAGTTTGGACCAAGTACTAAATGGTATTCAGACAGAATTGACTGCCTCTGGAAAGACATTGGACCTTTTATTTGTTATTCTACCTAACAATGGGCCTTTATATGGTATGTGTACTTGTTTCTTGCCACAAGGAAGATCAAGTTATATAAATTAGTATTGTATACTGCTATACATTGTGTTTCACACTTGAATCCAAACTTATACTTGTCTTACATAGACTGATCTTTTACTGTAGTAGTTAGGATGCGAAATAGATGAGTTTTAATGCTGGTTTTGCCAATGCATCTGTCCTTATCTCATCTCTAGCAAAGCAACTCAAGCCAAGCACGAAGGGACTTTTTAACTGATGGCATTCAAGTAAAACGACTAGGCCAACAAATTTAAAGATACCAACTCTTGCAACAAAAACAGGAACTTCCCCAAAGCAAAAAAGCCCATGAGTTCTTTTGAATAAGTCTGTATTGGCTTGTTAATCTTTAATGGACCCGATTCTAGGCATCTTTCCAGAGCATTCCGTCTCTGTACTAAAGAGTGTGTCGTTCATGTTGAATTTATTTTCTTATCCTCTCGTCTAAAAAATGCTATTGCCATCAGCTTGATGTTCAGTGTATCTGTCATTATTTACTGCAATATATATGTAGCCATGTGGCATCGATAAATCAATTTTAGATATTTATCAAGTTTCAGGATCGAAACCATAATTGTTGGACTCTCCTATTTTTGGTGGAAATCCCACTCCAGGATTTTGGTCTGGCTCTATAGAAAAGGGATCTACAAGGAATCTTGACTTTAAATTTTGAAATCTTAAAGTCCCTGCTGTTAGGGATCTTGATCCCCATTTTTAGAAATCACGAACCCAAGTTTTAAGACCAAGGTAATGACCAAGCTGATGAATTTCTTTGTTTATAACCAGGTTTAATAATTGTGTTGCTTGTTAGCTATAAATAAATAAAAAACTCTTAGTTCAAAAGATCGGGATTGAGATCTCAAAAGGTCGAGATCGAGATTCCCAAAAGATTGGGATTCCCAAAAAGATTGGGATTCCCAAAAGATTGGGATTCCCAAAAGATTGGGATTCCCAAAAGATTGGGATTCCCAAAAGATTGGGATTCCCAAAAGATTGGGATCAATATCCTTGATATTTGGAGATCTCAATCCAAACATCTGCATTGTATGGGCTACACTCCCAATCATGGGCTTCTTCTAGCTTTTCATGATCACCCACTCTAATTCCGACAATATGAACGAAACACTTGTTTATTTTATATTGAGGGTCATTTTTTGGATTTCTTTGAAATTGGCACCAAATGAATGCAAAGGAAGGATTGGACTTGTTTTTTGATGTTGTAAGCATCTTCGGCTCTTGGTGGAAAGGTGCAATTGCTGAGCATCTTTCTCAAGCATTTTTTGAATTGTTACCAAGAAAGGTATGGTTCTCATTGAATATGTTCCTTGTTTCATCATTTCATCATCGGCTCGATTTTCTTTGGTGTTCATAACATTATTCACAGTGATTTATGTCGTATATACGCTGATAATCAATTGGGCAAATCCGTGAGAGCATGTAGCATGTAGCACTGATAAACGATTGTTAGATATTATATGTTGCATCAAATGACCAATATAAAATTGTCTTCATGAAAATTGGTAACATATTATGCATAGTACAAATTTGTTTATGAGACTGTAAATATTCTCTTTCTTAAAATAGGGGATTTGAAGTACAAGTGTGAAACTGAATATGGATGGGTTTCCCAATGCTGTCTAAGGAAAACTATCATGGAACCCAAACCACAACTCTTAGGAAATTTGGCACTTAAAGTCAACGTAAAGGTGAGATTGGTAAACTTTTTCTATGTAAAGGTTATGTAAAGGTGAGATAGTTTTTTTTAAGTAAACCTTAGCATTACATAAGCATGCAAGAGCCCTACTAATTACTTTGTGATATTTTAGCAAAAGCCATCTTCACTGTGCAGAGTAATAATTCACAATATTAATATTTTAGCAAAAGACATTTTCATTGTGCACAGTAATAATTCACAATATTAATTACTTTGCATGATCCATGTCTCTTTAGGAAATGGATATACTATATTGTTTTAGCCGCCTCTTAAGCTACCCTTCTGTTTATATGTGCTATAAGTGTCCCCTTGAAAATCGAATTTAAAATATTCTTGAATAAAGAATGTTGATCTGGATCGAAAATTGCTGAGACAGATCCAGTTCCCACCATTTAGCAGGAACCGGCCTATTCTTTCAAGATTCGAGCTAGACAACATGGTTCCCAATTTTTTATTTATTTTTATTTCTTAGAGGTATTGGTTTTGTTTTTATTTCTTACAAATTCTGTTTATTGGAATTTTTTTATTCAGAAAGGGATGGCTAAATGGCCCACCCCTCTCTTTCCAATTGGCAGCCACGTATGTTTGGGCTGCCCAAACCCCAGATGATGTGGAATAAATATATCTAGTAATGTCCCCTTTATTGGAAAATAAATCACAGGTAAACCTTCAAACGCTCATTGGAAGCTTTGACCCTAACAAATTGGAATCTATGAGAGAGATAACTGAATATAGTTAGACAAATAACTTTCTGGTTTGGAAAGTGAATGTCCTCTCACCATGCTTACACTATTCTAGAAGGTGAAGTTGTACTGCTGTGATCTTGATAAAGTAGTCTGTATCTGAAAGAAAAGAAAAGAATTAATTGACTAAATGATCTGTTTTAAAGGAGTAACAATGACGTGGGCATAATGTCATAAGAACTAATTGATTAAATGATATGTTGCAACAATGACATTGGCATAATGTCATATGAAAATGAAGCCTAGGTTCGCATGATAATCTAAACAGGTATGTGCTTAACATGGATAGATACTGATTGTAGACATTGGTCCCCTCTGAAAGGTGGGTGGAAGAAATACAGCTCTTGCAGATCCTATACCTCACAACATACCTCAGTTCAGTAATGCGCCCTTTATTGTTTTCGGAGCTGATGTTACTCATCCTCGTCCAGGAGATGACGCTTCTCCATCCATTGCTGCAGTAAGACTCAATGCTTCAAATGCGGGTCATTGATGTTTCTTCCTTTCGTGTATGTGAAAGTATATTGTGATTCAATGGAGTTTTGAAAGAATGCTCCTAATGGACATCCACCACCTATTTCCTATGAGGAACAATGGAGATTGGCTGCAATGGGACTTCTGGAATGATCCTGTAGGTACAGTTGATCTCCAATGTTCACCATTGAGAAGAGGATTTTACAGTTGATCTCCAATAGCGTACTCCTATGGATTATGATTTACTTTAACTTTATATTAAATTGGATTATGATTTACTGTAACTTTGTATTAAATTTTTTCATGTTAAAAAATTAGCACACTCCTTGGCATGATTCATTTATTCTACTTTTTATCTGACTGTTGGTTCAAATTTTTAATTTGTATAGGTGGTTGCTTCTCGAGACTGGCCTCAGGCCACACAGTATGCAGCAATCATTAGTGGTCAAGGCCACAGAAAGGAAATTATTGAAGCCTTGTACACAGAGACACATGATCCTGAACATGGTTTTCAGGCTGGCGGCATGATAAGGCAATGCTATGTAGAGTGTGTTTCTTGATTAAAGCGTGGCAGCTCTCTCTCTTTCTTTAGATCTCACTCGATCGTATTTTTTAACAGGGAACATCTATTGTCATTCAAAGCTGCGACAAATAGAGAGCCTGCACATATCTTATTTTTCAGGTATGCTAAGATAGGCAATTTAGAGGAATAAAAAGAAAAATGAAACTTGATTTGGTAATATGTTCTTGCCTGATGGAAGGAATTTAAGTGAATTGTAGAGAATAGAAAGATTAATAAAAAGAAAAATGAAATTTTTTTGGTTAAAACGGAATTGTAGCTTCTTATCGTTTAGAAACTAATTTTCTGGGGATGGCATGAGCAAGAGGAGACACTAAACTGGCCAAAATTAGCCCTTCTCTAGTTAAGGTGATGATTTTGTCATTTTTACATGATTTGCACAATTTTCTCTCAGGGATGGTGTTAGCGAGGGGCAGTTTTCACAGGTTGTCAGAGATGAACTTACTGCTATCAACAAAGTCAGTTTTGAGCTTTCACAACCTCCTCTTTTCTTTTTCTTTATCTCAAAAAGTTTGACATAATCCAATGAGGTATGTATGGGCACTCATAGGAGCATCCAACATCCGTTCCTGACAACAGAGAATGAGATCAATTGTCATCCACCTTGTATATGGAATTGGATAACATCCATCATCAGTAATGGATGGTGGATGCCCCTGGAGTACCATATGCAATGCCAGTCTTCCTCTTAATATGTGGAGGGCTAATCATTATATCTCTTAATGATATTCAAAGAAAATTGTTATGGTTCTTATTGCTATCCATCATCTCTCAGGGTTGCAAGTCCCTTGGAGCAAACTATGAGCCTCGTATTACATTTGTAGTGGTGCAGAAGCGACATCACACCAAGTTCTTCCCTCAGACATATGGGGATGACAAAACTTCTGATAAGAAAGGAAATCTATTACCTGGTGAGTAAGACCTTTGAAAACACTTGAAAATTCGTGAATGGTTTATTGGGAACCTAAATAATTTTTGTGCTTCTTTTCCAGGCACAGTGGTTGACAGAGATATATGCCATCCTGCTGAAAATGATTTTTACCTCTGTAGCCATGGTGGTCTCAAGGTTGTTTAACTTACCTCAAATTATATACAATATTAAATAAACTCTCTCTCTCTCTCTCTCTCTCTCTCTCTCTCTCTCTCTCTCTCTCTCTCTCAGTGTGCTTGTACATTTCCAGAACAAACTTAGGAGAATCCTACACACCAATTCATGAAATTTAACTCTTTGAAGTTGTAGACACTGTTGCCATGTAGATAAGTGAGTCAGATGACAGAAATAAGATCCATGTAGGCACACATT